AAAAAAAAAAAAAAAAAAAAAAAAAAAAAAAAAAAAAAAGCAATCCTGTGGCAAAAGTCCAATACCTATGAATTTTTTCTCTTTCATTCTACTTCTTTTCTCACTGGCAATTTGCTTACCCTTGAGAAATCTCTCCCCCCCCTATCTCCAAGTAAACTATCCCTGAATACCTTGACATAAGAAACTTTTTTAAAAGCTGACTTAAAAATTGGTAGCAAAAACCTAACAAAAAGTCCACAGAAGTCTTCCCATTAAATTCCATGGGTTTTGAATAGACTACAATTTTATAGCAGAGATGTGAAAAATTAAATTGCAAATCACATTACACTTTTCAGTAGCACTGTAAGAGATGAGGAAACTCTTCACACACATCACACAACAAGTATGTGTATATCTGGAACGGTGATAGAAAAGCTTCAGACTTGGAAGTGCACATATACATTCTGACTAAAAACAAAGGGCATCTGTACGTGAGCACAGAGGCAGCTCCACTGTGCTGTAATTAGAGTGCATTGGAGCAGACTCAACATGGTAATTACCATGCTCCAGCAGCCTCCCGCATATCATGCATCCATCCCTGGATTTCAAAAAAGCAGGAGCACTTGAACTAAAGCTCAAATGAGGTTTAGTTCAAGTGCACCCACTGCCATTTTGAAGTGCAGAAACGCTGATACACAAGACTGTGTTGCTTTAAATTAGAGCAGCTCTTGGAACCACTCTAATTAAAGTGCTGCTTCCCCCCCGCCCAACCCCTGGAGCATGTATAGAAGTGCCCAAAAGGACCCACTGGTTCTACATCACCAAAAATCCTTGTCAGTGTGTCTACATGTGCATTTGATACTGGAGCAGTTTACTCGTGAGTAAACTACTTGTGACTAAATGCTGCTAGTTGCCCCACTAGCAGATTGGGGCAGGGGGCTAGGACCTACCCCACCCCTACAGCTCTTTCCAAGCCCCATGCCTTGATCACCTGATCAGGACACAGGGCTGGGACCTGCCCCTGACCAGGCCAGCTCCCAGCCCTTGCTCTACGATTATGCAGCAGAGGCTGGGGAACTCCCAATGCCAGTTCCGTGACTGCAGGGCTGGAGCTGGGAGACCTGTATCTCCCAGTGCTAACTCCACAATTGTGGGGTCAGTGCTGGGAGACCCTTATCACCCAGCACCAGCCCTGCAGTTTCAGAGCTGGCACTGACAGATAAGGGTCTCGCAGCCCAAGGCCCACAATGACGAAGCTCAAGCTGGGAGATAAGGATCTCCCAGCCTTCGCTCCCCAATCACAATCTCATAGCCGGGGGCTTGGAGATCCCTGCCGCCGAGTCAGAGAGATAGTCCCCACCTAAGCTCCGATGATGGAGTCTGCCCAACAGCAGACAGCTCCTGGGGGCAGGGAGCAATCTCCCACCCCCTGGTGGCCAGCTGCCTGGGAGCACATTTGCTCCCAGTCAGGCATCTACACAAGCACTACTGCACTATTAGTACTCATGAGTAAGTTTGCTACTTGCATTTCCAGATAGCAAATTTACTTGCAATTAGTGAGGTTTACTGCACAGTAAGCATGTGCATGTGAAGACAGTAAACTATGCTACTTCACAGTAAAGTGTCTTATGTAGATGCACCCAGTGACTACTACATAACTCTTAATTTAAAGCTGTGCTTTACTTTAATTTTGTAAGGAAATGGTAAAACCCAAGACATTTTACCCTCATTCTTATAAGATGCCTTTACATTAATTTAAATTGTCTCACCTTTTCAAGAAACGCAATTTTTTCAGATCGTGTAGATTCCAAGTCCTTCTCAAGATCTTTGTAAGATATTTTTAGATTTTCTAAGGCAGACTGCCAAGTTTCAGTGTTGGATAGATTTTGAACCTTTGGTATTAATTCAGCCATCAAATTTTGCAGCCCTTCTTTTGCCTCCTTCCAGTGTTCATGTTCATTTTCCAAATGTAAAAGCTGTATGGAGACCTGTTCTGCATCTTTTATTTGATTTTGAAGTGTAACATTTTCTTGGATCTTCTCAGTCAGCTTTTGCTTGTAGGTTGCAAGTTTCTGAACAAGTGCTTTCACTGATTGCTCTAATTTGGCACTGAAGGTTTCCGTTTCCTGAAGTTCCTCGAGTAATTGTGTTTTATCATCATATTCAAGGCATCCAACTTCATTAATTATGTCTAATCCTTTTGCCTCACAGACTTCTTGCTCATTATAAGAATGCCTTGCATCCTTCAGCTGAGATGTGACCAACAGCACAACATTTTGCAACTCTCTCATTTTAATATTTTCTTTTTCCTTTATTTCTAGCAGTTTTACAATGGTGGAATTAGAAGATTCTAATTCAAATATTTTTTCTTGTTTTTCTTTTAGTTCTTTAACCAAACCTTCTTTTTCTGCCTGGATGTCAGTAATTTCTAATTCTAAAGTTTTCAATTTTTGACCTCTCTCTTCCATCTCAGTGCTTAAAGTTTCCGCCTCTACCTTAGCGGTCTCTGCTCGAAGAATTGCATCTTCTAGATTGTCTTCTGATATCTGCAATTCTCTTTCAAGCTTCTCAACTTTGTCCAGAAGAGAGTCTCTTTTCCATTCACACTCTCTTAGTTTTTCAGCTACATGGCGTTTTTTCTTTTCATCAGATTCTATTTTTATTTTCAATTTCTCAATTCCACATCGCATTTGATCTACCTCCTCTTGTGCTGAGTTGAGCCTAGCAGCAAGTTCACGTTTCTCTGTTAATAAGCCTTCCAAAGATTTGGAAAGCTTTGAGTTTTCCACTTCTGATGCACTTAACTGAGTCTGCAACATTTCTGACTTTTTTAGAATCAATTCTTTTTCCTCATTCAGATGTCCAGTTAGGCTTTGCAACTTTTGTTCTTCTAATGCTAGAACCTCTGTATTTTTTTCCAACTGCTGCAAAAGACAGTCTTTTTCCTTTGTTAAATGACTTGCATTGGACTTTTCAGTCTGAAGTAGTTTTGTTAGTGTCTTCACTTCAGCCTCCAAGATCCTAACAAATTCAGTAGAATCTATTTTATTTGATTCTAGCTCTTTTGTTTTTTCTTGCAGTTTCTGATACACTTCATCCAATTCCTCTTTGTTTTCCCTCAAAATGCTTAGCTCTTCACCAAGCTGGTTTCTCTCAGCTGTGATGACAGCAAGTTGTTCTTGAAAACCAGACATAGTTTTCAGTTTATTTTCACTGTCTCTTTCTAATTGCCGATTTTTTGTCTGGAGCACCTCAATGTCACCTTCCAAGGCCAGAGCATGGTTCTCAACATTAGCTTTCTCAGATTTAGTCCTTTTCAATTCATTTTCTGTTTCAAGGAACTTTTCCTGCCACTCTCCTTTGGTCTTTTCTAAGTCATTTAGCATGTCTGTCACATCAGAAAGTCTAACTTTGTACATTTCCATGTCAGACCTTACTTTTTCAAGTTCTTTTTCTAGAGTCATCCCTCTACAAGATAGTTGCTGCTTATCAAAAGCAGCAGATTCAAGTTTTTCTTTTAAGTCACGTTGTTCTTTTTCAAGGGCTAGAACTGTTTTTTCTAGTTCTGTACAAACACTTATCTTTGCAGTAAGCTCCATCTCCTTTAAATCCAACCTTGAGTTTAATTCTTTGATTTCAAATAGCAGCATATCCGCTTTTTCATTGCTTCCTTGTATTCCATGGAACAGCATCAAGTTTTCCTCAGGCTTCTGAGTTACCTGTTGCTGAAGAGTTTCAATGGCTACTTCATTTTCCAAGAAATCCACAGCAGTTTCAGATAAACTGTGACTAGAAAGTGACAAATCACTTGTTTTGTCTGAAAGGTTTGTGTTTTTGTCTGACATATAGCTATAGTCTCTCTCTGAAGTAAATTTCTCCAAATGCTTTTCTTTTGATCTTGTTTCAGTAATCTCAGTTACTTTTCCACATCCAGTCTCTTCTTTAGCAATTTGCTCACAGAGTTTTATGTCAGGTGTATCACTTTCATGTGTCAAGTTCTCACTGAGCAAACTATCCACTTTTAATTGTTGCAAGCCATTTTCTTCTTCTTCAGGAGGCACCTGTAGAAGTCAGTAAAAAAAAAAATGAATTTAGAAAGACAAGTTTATTACATGATGGTCTTCTGCTAGCTCCTTTTCCCTCATTCACAACAAATGGGTAGGAAAAAAAAAAACCAACCAGAAAAATCTATAGAAAATGAAGGAAGTCCAGTATTTTTGCTGGAGGCCCTAACTAAACTCCACTTTTCAATCTGGGCCACAAAAAAGTTGATCTAAAGCTGTAGGGACATTCTAGCATTAACATTAAGAAGCCCTGGAATTATATTAACTAGTTTTACCTCTCCTATTAGAAAAAACAAAGGAATTCTCTACTAATGAAATTTTGCTCATTTATTGATTGGGATAACGGTACTTATGGGTGGGGCTGTGAATTTAACAGAAATTCTATTGGAGAAATTGGGCTTACAAATGCAAGTGGTGCCTCAGGCCTTGAAGTGCTAGCAAAAAGCAAAGTAGCCTGTGTAAATCATTAGCTCCTAAACATTTAAGTTAAAGGGAACTGGCCCAAGACAAATCTGTATAAACTAGCCATTAATACTAGAAATTAGAAAAACCATTATAGCAACCAGGTTCTGGGACAGCCTTCCAATGAGAGTAGGGGACTAAACACTTCTAAATGGAAGGAGTTATATGAACATAGTGCTTGAGATACTCAGCAGATTTTTAAGATTTCAGAAGTGTTCAGCCTGATTTAAGAATCAGTGGGTTGGACACAAGTTAGACTTCATCTAGCAACAAGCCACTGTGCTTGTTGCAAGGGAAGCTGAAAGTAGCTCTTGGTGCCCTCTCATGAGAAATGAGGGAATGGGCCGTACATAAGGTGCTAATTTTTCTGGACTGTAGCTAAGGAACCAAAGATAAAAAGTTGCACATTTCCATATCTCAACTGAAACTGTATTAATGATATAGAGAAAATACTTTTAAATAGTTTTCATTTTTCATAAGTAAGGACATACCAAAAATCAGGATTTTACAAAATCTGGCATTGCCCACAAAAGCTGTAGGAAAAAAAACTCACCAAAAATAAAATGCTGGCTCCCCAGAGGGAGCCAGCTACCTTCACCATGCCATGGCCTAGCTGTGCAGCCCACCGGAGAGGATTAGGGGGGCTGCTCACATGACAGGCAGCCCAAGATGGCTGCCATCCCCACTGCTGACTGGCTGCAAGGGCTGTCCATCATAAGGCCCTGCCCCTCTCCAGTCAACAGCAAGGGCAAGGCCATATGATGAACAGACCTCACAGCTAATAAGTGGTGAGGGGCAGGGCTACCAGGGCTTCTTGGCTAATCGGAGGCATGGGGTCCCCACTACACTCCGCCCATGAAAAAGGCTGCCAGGCCCGCATTTTCCTCATTAAATCAGCTGGCATTTTCCTCATTAAATCAGCTGGTAAGAACCTACCACCTCAAATTTGGTAGGTTCTTATTAATAAGCAAGCCTGTTTTGGCTTGTACCATAAATCCAATGACATACATCACACTGATTTGTATGAGTGTCATTACTTACATCTTCAATGTCTATGCACGGCAGTGAACGAGAACTTAAATCAAGGCCTTGTAGTTGGAGCCTTGCCACTTCAAGCTGTAGAAACAAATTCTCAGTCTGTTTCTTCTCCGCCGCCAGTTTATATTCCATCTCCATGGTTACAATATTGAGTTTTTGCTGCCACTGATCATTGTCTGAAACATTTTGCTTTTTGAGGTCATCTATTTCTTTCCTTTCAGAAAGGATTATTTGCTTTAGTTCTTGTATCTCTTCATTTTTCATATTTTCTTGAGAGCAAAATTGGTCTTCAAGCATCTTGATAGACTTTTCGTATGTCTGACACAGTGTCTGAAGCTCTTCAATTTTACTGTTCAGATGACATTTTGTAGATGTAATGCTCTCTTGCTGTGCAATATGTTCCAAAGCATGATCATAAGGCTCTTCAACTACACTAATTTCTGTTGTATTCCCTAAAACAGATTCTTCGGAGCTATTCAGATGAGTTATTTCTTCAGACTTTTTGTACATATGATTGTCAAAAGAAGAACACACAAAACTTTCTTCTGCAAAACGGGAGATTTCATTAAGACCCAATGGAGAAAAGATGTGCTTGGAGTCAACTGATTTAAACTCACCACTGTTCTGGACAGGAGTCGCCTGTACTAAATCAGTATGAACTTTGTTCAGACTTGTTGACAAAGCAGAATTTTCTGCTTTAAGTGTTTCAATACAAGACTGCAGCTCAGATATTTGAGAGATTGTCTTACAGTGCTGCTCATGTAGAATTTTATGCTGGTTTTGCAAAGAGAAAAGTTTTTCCTTTATTTCAACAAAGTGTATTTTAACTTCTTTTTCAGATAATTTTAAAAATTCATAATCATAGTTCAGCCCAACATTGCATTCCAGAGATTTGCATGACATTGGCTCATTAAACTGTATTTCTGATCTATCTTCATCATTTTGATCCATAAACTCATCAGGAACAATAGCTTTTTCTTCTTTTAATATTTTAACTTCATTCATTAATTGTCCTACCTCTTCTGCCATTTCAGCAGTAGTTGCCACAGATTCAGTTTTTGATTCATTATGTTCAGTTGTTAAGGCTAACTTTTCAATCTGCACCTTTTCACACATTTTCTCCAACTCATTTACTCTATTTACTGTCATCTGCCAAGAAGATACTAGTTGAGCATCATCATTCTGGCTTGATGTTAACTCATGAAGACCTGAAGAACATTTTTCATCCATTGCCTTTTTATAATGGTACTGGGAAACAACATCACCATTAAAATCCTCTGAATGTTCATTTGTATTCATTGCTATAAACTTAGCATCTGGAGTTTCTAGTTTTTCTTTAATAATTTCTAATTCTTGCAGCATCCCCTCTTTTTCCTTCTCACTTTCTTCAAGTTTTATCTCTGAACTTTTCAAAGCAGCCTCTAGTTGCATTACCTGTGTCTTGTAGTTTTCTACAGAGACTTCTTTGTCCTCAAGATCCATCTGTAACAGCTCAAGCTTAACTTGACATTTATTCAGGTTTCTCTCTTTTTCTTCCACAGACTCTTTCAACTGTTCATAATTAGCTTTTGAGAGAAGGCCTAAGTTACATATTTGATGTTCATTCTTTGTTTCTATTGCCCTGATTAGTTCCTCTCTCTCTTGATGCAGGATGTTATATTGTTCTTGCACTTTATTTTGTTCTGCCCTGACATGTAATATCTCCTTTCTTAGACAATCACGCTCAACTGAAGATGCATTTTGGATATGGGAAAACTCTGATTGTAGTTTCTCAAGTTCCTGAATCAAATCTCTATTTTTTTCCTCTGATAACTTTAGCCTCAATAAAACTTCTTTGTGTTCATTAATAAGCTGTTTGTCTTCTTCTATTTCTGATTTTCTCTCCTCAAAGTTCTTTGTTTGAAGTCTTAAAATACTTTCTATGTTGGCATTCTTTTCTTCTACCGATTGGTATTTTGTTTGTAGAATTGCAAGTTCTCTTTCAATTTCTTCATATCTTTTTTCAAGTGACAGTTGTTCCTCTTTATGTTTTTTGGACATGTCAGAAATCATTTCTTCTCTTTCCTTTAAATTATTAGAAATATGGGCATGTGCTTTTAGAAGATCTACTTTTTCTTCTTCTAAAGTTGTGTTAATGCCCTGAAGGGTTGCTTTTTTTTCAATAATACCATCAATTTCTTCTTTATATAAGCAAATCATTGTAGACATCTCTTTTTTCTCTGAATTCCATGTTTCAGACATAAGTTGTAATTGCCTTACTGATTCCTCAAGCATTTGGTTATTTATTTTTAAATCCTGAATCTCTGCTTGCCGAGTTTCTAATTCTTTATTCAACTTTTGGAATTGCTTGTCCTTGTCTTCAAGAGCAGCTAATATTTTACCAACAAAAACCTGCCGAGCAGATACATCCTCTTGCAAATTACTAATATGTTGCTTAGTCTCTGTCACAAAACTTCCATGAATCTGTTCTACTTCAAGCAGCCTTTTTTCTGTCTGACCCTTGATTTGTATCAATTCTTCATACTGTTTCTGTAAATCTGAATTCAACTGCTTTTGAGCTATTAATGAAGTCTCAAGAGAAGATATCTGATGTTGGAAAACAGTCACATCCTGTTGATTGTTCTTTCCTGTTCCTAGTGCAATTTTTGTAAAATGATTTTCTTGATCTTCAGTGATTGCTCCAGGCTCTTTTGTTGATGCAGTGGCATTGCTCATTGCAATTTGTCTGTCATCTAAAACAGTTTTACAATCATCATTTTGTGAATATACTTCTCCATCTTCTGTCACTTCAGAAATATCTTTTGATTTTACAAGAGAACAGATTCTGTCATATTTAACAACCAACTCTTGATAACATTGATCCTTTTCCACTGCCTTATTTTCTGTCAACTGGAGCCTTTGTCCAAGAAGGTTAATTTGGTTGGTGAGCTCTGCTATTTTCCAAGTCATATTTTCTATTTCTTTCTTATATTTTTGCTCTGAACAGTCTGCTTTTTGCTGAAGTTCATCGTAGGCTTTTTTCTGTGCGTCTAATGTTGCATTCTTACATTCTACAGTCTCTCTGAGATTTTTAATTTCTATATTATACCTTTCATTTTCAATTTCCATGTTTCTGACTCTCTCACTGGTTTCATGACTTTTAGCTTGTTGATTTTTGAGAGAAGTTTCCAAGTGATTAATTTTGTTTAGCAAACCTTCCTTCTCAGACTCTAGATGATTCGCAAGCTGTTCATTTTCAGTTTTCCACTCAGAAAAAGTGATAATCTCCTTTCTTATTTCTTCACATTCTCTCTTCTTCACTCCAAGGGCCTTCTGTAAATCTTCTGTTTCTTTTTCCATTTTGCCTATTTTATTGTTTAATTCTTTAATGTGATTTTCTCTTTGTATAAGCAAGTCTTGAACAGATTCTTGCTGCTTTTCCATGTCAGCTATTACTAATTTCAGTTTCTCCAAAGTTACAGAACTATCTTGCTTGTCTAATTTTTCTTGGAGCAATTTTAGCTCTGCTTCCTGAGAGAGATTTTTATCTAAGACATTGAAAAAAAAATATTAAAAAGGTTAATCTAAAGAAAATTAATTATTCTATCAACTATGTATTAATCGTTTTAATAATATAGAATAATGAAAAAAATATTCTAATATTTAAAGAATACAATTAAAATGTCCCCGTGTCTTTTGAAAACTTTACTTCTGTATTATTCAACTGGCTAGATTGGACAGACTTTTGGAATTAACTAAACATACTTTATATAAAAAACACTGTCATGATAGAGTAACAGAAAGAACACACTGTAGCTAATTCTTCACTTCACAGTTGTAACTCTGTTGCTTCTAAAGTCTAATTTCCAATGCTTTAAAACTCAAGAACTAGGGATAACCATACTAATGACTACTGGAAGAATTTTAGTGACCTTTTTATCCATTTTTCAGCCTTTAAAACTAAAATACATCAAACCAATCAAAATGCTTGGTGGAGCAAATCATCTCATTCTCTTAATACTGCGTCATAACAGAGGAATTTCCTGTATTACTAAATAAATACTATTGAACACCAGTAATTTACTGTATAAAACAGAAAATATTTCCCTACAAGAAAAATAAAATTGTCAGTCTTCCATTCAATAATCTTCTTTAATGACTCAGTAGATGCAACTAAATTATATTTAGCAAATCTGTAGATGACACCAAGCTGGGTAGAGCAGAAGACACTTTATAGGACAGTCATAGGGTGTGGAGAGGCATAATCCTTAGAACACTCTAAATAAAATTTAAACCGCAAGACCATGTCCATACAAGTGTGGCTGTGCAGTATGTGGCACTGCAGACAGGTCTGCACATCTAGGCATTCCCCACACTACCACCTTGCAGCACGGGGGGATATTCTGATCCCAGGAAATATACCAGGGTCAAAAAAATCCATGTGGAAAATAAGTGGGGTGGTGCACATGGCAGCAGCACATACCACTCAAAACCAGAGCCTGGCCAGGCAGAGCCACACTCCAGCTGCCGGCCAGACTTCCAGCTGCAGCAGTGCCATGGCTGCAGCTTCCCCCAGCCCTCAGGTAAGGCTGCTCAGGCCAGCACAATTGCTTGCCCCAGCTACCCCTACCCCACCAGGGGTAAATCAGCCACATGCGAGTGCTCATGGTACAGGTGTTCCCCAGGGACAAGTAGCAGCAACACAAAGTGTGCTGCTGCTACTTGATCCTGGGGAACCAAATGTCTGTGCTCTTCTGGACACAGCCCAAGAGTCTAGATGTGCATGCCACTGAAGACCGGTTTAAACTTCCTGGAATATCTCAAAAGAACACCGGCAAAAAAGGGTACTATTTTGAGGCAGTCCTCCATAAGCCAGTCCAATGTTACATGGGAACATAGAGCATTCTGTGCCTACTGTCTGGTTAGTCCTCCAGGTATCCCAAACTACCCTGTTCTTCACTCCCCTACTCCACCCCCACACACATGCAGGACAAGAGGTTGCTGTGGAACACAACCAGGACTCTATTGTGCAAACAGACAGTAGGGAAGCAAAGCATCCATGTCAGTTTGATTCTGTGCTGCAGACACTTGATCTCCAGGGCAGGGTATGAAAAGCTGCAGAGATCTTAGGGTCCCAGAGCACTAAGCCCTCTAGGAAATACAAGCAGGGGACCACACATCTACCACAGCACTTAGCACCCCCTCCACTCCCATTCTTCCACTACCCCAAATGCCTTGAAACCTCGTTCCCCGCCCCAGTCCCTCCACAGCTGTGCATTCCTAGTCAGGGTACCACCACTTAGATTTTGTAAAATACAATCACATTCTTCACTGAACACAATCAGTCCTTTTTATTCTCCCCACCCCTTTTTTTTGAGACGGGGGAGCTGAAATTGCAATTGTGGGCCATGATATATCTTTCTCTTTCTTGGGCACCAGCCAAATCCAGGTCTTCCGCCCCCCTCTACTGGAATCCTAGGGCAAGTCCAGACACTGGAAGGATTGATGGCCTGGATAACACTATCACCCCTCAGTGCAATCACTAAAAGGTGACTTAGAACTCTTAGCATGGTACATACAGACACTTCTGTCCAGGGACAAATGTGAACAAGTTCCTCATCAGTGGGTGCTTGTACACGTGCATATTAATGTGCAGCAATAAACTCCAGGGCATATCACGTTGAAGTTTATTGCTTCTAGGTGTCATGTTTACACGTGTGCCCAGGACCACAGCACATTGACTGGGTTAGAGCAGCCCTGGCTGGCACGGAACCCGGGGGGTCAGCGTGCCAGTCCGGGGCTGCTCCAACTTGGCTCAACATGCTGCAGAGCCACTGGCTGGGGCACAAGGGTGTTCCAATGTGGGGCTAGCCAGCAGGAAGCCCCCACACTGAAGCCCCCACATGCCACAGCCAGCTCCATAAACATCTACACATGTGGCGCTGCACAAGAAGACTCTGGAGCAGGATAATAATTGTATTTACAAGTACTAATCTGCTGTGGAGTTTATTGGTTTCCTGTGGTCTAATAGAGTCGCACATAGACACTGATACATTTACTGCAGAGCTAATTAGGCAACTTGGCAGTAAATGTTTCATATAGATGCATCTAGTGACATTCCTGGAACAAGTTAAGCACTATGTCTGTCCACACCCTTAAAACATATAAGTAAAAGATAAACCAACATGTTTCTGGCATGGTTTAGCTAATTATGCCTTGAGCAGGGTGGTGGACTGAGATCCTGAGGTCCCTACCTGCCCTATGATTCTAGAAGAATGATCCAATGTTTAGTTCTTGATTTGCAGCCTAAACATACTCATCTTCAATGTTCTTCTCTGCCAGAGAAATTCTATGATACACTGGTTAAGTCATTAGTCTCTCCATACTTCAGTTATCCATCAATAAGATAGAAATAACAGTAATACTCCACTACTTCATTGGCATGAAGCTAGCATAAATGAACTAAAATCTAGAATGTGAATTGATAAGAAAGGTCATAAATGCCACTTATGTACCAGAGATTTAGATTATTTTATAAAAACCCCAAATATGTACAGACAGTCCTCAATTTATGACGTTTCAAATTGCATCAAACAGCACTTATGACATTTGTAAATTGACACCCTGTTTCGAGGTTCCAATGCCAGTTTCGCCTTTACAATGCTGGACACAGCTGCGTCCAGCTGGTAAGTCTGCTGTGGTGGGGGGGAAGAGGGGAGAGAAGAGGCGTGGGGAGGCAGATCAGTGCCCCCACAGTGAGGGAAGGATTCCAGTTGGGGCAAGTGCTGCCAGGGGAGCCTGGGGAGAGGATGGGGTGACTCCCGCTGCAGGTCCGGGAGGGCAGGGGCGGGTGGGGGGGGTGAGGGGCGTGCCAGGTGAAAGGCGCTTGAGCAGCCCTGGCCCCAGCCACCCCATACAGATCTGGAGCACATGCCCTGCCACCGCTTGCCAGGGCGGAGTGAAACTGCAGCTTGTCTGGGAGGTGTGGGGAGGCTGCACAAGCAATGGCAGGGCAGAGCCCTCACTCCCACTGCCTTCCACCCGGAGCGAGCCACACCTGCATCACACACCCTCAGCTCCCCTGCCCCAGCGGAATAAGCGGCAGCAGGGCAGAGTCCCTGCTCCCAGCACCACTGAAGCGTAGCCTGGCACTGCCCGCCTTGCAGCAAGGCGAGCAGCCAGATGAGCCGCAGCTTCTCCCATGACTGTCCATAGCCCCCAGAATGCAGCCCTGCACTGCCAGCATCTCTGCCAGGGGGGCAGTGGGACGAACCATGGCTTTGCTCCGAGGGCTATGGGCTGTTAATCATTTGACTAGAGGATCAAGATAAATGCCACGGCTTCTGTGAGTTTAGGTATCATTCAGGAGTAAGCTAGGAGTCTTTACGATGATCTTTATGAGTCTTTATGATGAACAGCAGAAAGTGGCAGAGGAAAAAGATGCATCCACTGTTGAAGAGACTCCTCCTCGTAAAGTCTTGACAACAAAGTTGACTGAGGCATTTCAACATTTGGAAGCTGCCGTTCCTCAAACACAGACATATAACCCTAACATTGAACACAGTGCATCAGTGAATAAGGGCATATTTAAACATGTACAGCTGCTACAGAGAAATTTACAAGCAAAAGAAGAGAACATCTGTCCAAACTTCCTTGGACACTTTCTTAAACAAAGCAGGCAAGACTCTAGCAAAACCTGTAGCCAAGACTCCTAAGATGACTCAAGCCAAGACCCCTTCAAAAAGTCCAGCAAAGTCACCTCAAAGAAGTCCTTCTAAATCAATATGATTGCTATTTATAATATGAATACATTAATGTAGCTATATTACTCCTTCATAATTGATTAAGTACAAAATTCTGGGTTATTTTTGGTGAAAATAGGGTATCAGGCCTTGGTTCAGGAAACCAATCCCCCATTTATAATATTGTTTCCTATGGGAAAATTAGTTCCAAGTTACATTTCAACTTAAGATGTGGCTTTCGGGAACCAATTGTGTCTCAAGTCCAAGGACTGCCTGTAATGGAATTAAATTAACAGTAACAAAGTTCAGCAAGACAGAGCTCATACACAAACATTTTCTCACCTTTTTGTCCATAACTATTCTCCCTAGGAAGCCGAGATTACACTACAATTTTACATCTTCCTCAAGTTCCACACAAAAGCAATGGTTTGCAACAAGTTTTCAATAAATTGAAACATTTAACTCACTTTTCATCTCTTCTGCAAAATTCTGGCTCTGCTTTAAAAATTGCTTTGCTGTTTTTAGTTCTTCTTCCAGCTGGTGGATCTCTCGCAACTTTTGATCAAACTGGCAATTAAGGAAATTTTTTTCCTTTTTCACTTCCTAAAACAAAACATTAGTTACAAAATCAAATCATGAATGAATTACAAAAAAATCTGATTGGTTCCATAAAGTTATTCAGAAAAGACAGCTGCAATTTGGTACGCTATCTGTTTGGCATCCTGGGAAACTAGGCCTTGATTTCTAAGTGTTTCTTGGGAACAAAAATTGTACCAAATGGCATAGATTTGTACATCCCCTGTAACCAGCTATTACCAATTTCCTGTGGCCTAACCTGAGCAGATCTCAATATAAGAACTGATACAGTGAGATAAAGTGACTTATCCAGAACCAAAGACAGAGTCCATTTCAGAGACAAGATCAGAAATTTCCAATTCCACATCCTGTGCTCAGATCAACCATCTCTTGGGATGGATATCTAAAATACATAACATTATTCTTCCTGCTAAACAACATGCAACTGCCTTGGATGTAAAGAGTTAAGACTTGGATGAGTCTGTTAGTTCAAGGTGGCATGCTTTCTATTGAAGTATTTTTCTCCAAAAAACTTAAGAACAGTAAAAAGTATCCAAACAACTAAATTCCAAGTTGCTTCTGAAGTCCAAACTCCTTTCTCCCCAAACTCTTGGGGAGCTCAGCTGAACAACAGATGGCATAGCACTGGCAGGGCTCATTTGGAAAAAAGCCCTCAATTACTCATCTAGTTACTAGTAGCAGATGGGCACTGGAGCATAGAAGCCAAGTTCAAGAAAAAGGAGGGCATGTATGGGGGGGGAAAAGTTAAAAACCTACTGGCAGAGTAGGCTTTTAATTTGTAACTATTTAAACAAGTCAACCTAGGACAGTAATTGAAAGGTGTTCCTCTCCACTCATAGCCTCCAAACCTGAAAATTCAACTGGTATGTCAATCACTTGAAAAACATACAGGTTTTCAGGAACATTTACTAGAAATTTTGATATATAATGAGTTTTAAAGCAGGATAAATTTTGAGCTTCTTGATTTTGCAATAGCATGTGCTGATTTCTACTCACAAGTCAGTATACAAAACAAGCACTAGCAAATCCCCATTTTTCTGCCAGTTCCTCTTCAACCAAGTTTAAGGTGTTTAGACAGCTGAAAGGTCCAACCCTCTTCTCCTGCAGCTTGATGCAAGGAGCTGACTAAGAAGTGTTCAGCAAAAACTTGGAAATCACAACCTTATGTCGCTAAACAAATCCTAAGTATTGAAGACAGTCCATGAATAGCCAAAAAATAAAAAGTTATCTTTTCTCTAGGTATTTCCAGGGCACTGATATAATGGGTTAAACCCACTAAAATGATGAAGCAGATAAAATTACTTCATTCAAAAAATGAAAATTGTTCTCCATCTTGAAGAGAAGGGAAAGGAGAAGAGAAAGACATACTCGTATTATTTCCCAGAAGTTACTCCTTAGTATACGAGTTGCTTAGGTACAACATGATTACAAGCAATTCTAACCCAGACACGCATGCACCATCTAATGCCACCACCTCCAAAAACTGTCACTGATATGCTTAAAGTGTGGCTTATCAGAAAGGAAAGTGATGAGCTAGAACAGAGCTCTTCACCTTACAACTTGCTGGCCAGAAAAACAGGGTCTTCGGCAGCATTTGGCAGCAGGTGGCTTTGCCCACTCCATGCTGTACCACAGGTGGGGGCTTCACCCATGCTGCAGCCAGCTGAGCAGCAGAGAGAAGCAAGGATGAGAAGAAATGATGACCAGGTCCTAGTGCCAGCCTACCTGGTAGGTCATTTCAGCCTGCCTAGTAGGGCATTTCAGAAAACATTGCTGACTCCTGTACTAGAACATCCCAGAACATCCTTGAGTCCCTGTCACTGCAAAGTACAGAATTCCTTGAATTCAACATTAGGGCTGTGAGAAACAGCACCATTATGTTTTGACTTCCATTTCGCCAGGATAGTATTTCATTTAGTTTCGAAAGCACTGTTCCGTTTCATTTTGTCGAAACATTGACGTTTAGCGCAGAGGCTATAATGGGGAAGCACAAAGCTACCTATAACATTGTCATTTCTTGCCTGACTCAGATGAAATGTGGAGGATTAGTAGCCACTTCTGAGGCCATGAAGCCTGCCTAGTTTCAAGGAGATAGGTGCAGGGGTTTCTGGAAAACTCCAGCTCAAGCCGCTGACAAGCAAAACTCATTTCACTTGCCGGCAGCAGCAGCCTTCTGTCATTCTGTGTAGATCTGGGGCCCCTCACTGCCAGAAGGGCTCTGGGGCTGAAGGAGCCAGAGGGCAGCCCGGTGGCAGGATGTGGGGAAGAGCCAGTGGTGGAGCCGCTCAGAGCACAGCCCTGGCCAGTGGCGTTGCCTCACCTCCCGCCACCAGGCTCAGCTCCATGCGGCTGTGGAACCTCCAGCCGCCAGACTGTGCTCACCAGAGTTGCGCTCCAAGAGACTCCTCCAGCCCCATGGAGCTCAGCCCGGCAGCAGGAGGTGGCACAAAGCTAGTGGTGGAACCACTGGGAGTGCAGCCCTTGGTCCAAGCACAGCCCTGGCCAGTGGCTCTGCCCTGCCTCCCACCACTGGGCTCAGCTCCATTGAGCTGGCAGAGCTGGTTGGAGTGCAGCTGGGTGGCAGGAGGTGGGGGAGAGCCACTGGCCAGGGCTGTGCTCAGAGCTGCTCCACCACTGGCTCTCCCCTGCCAGGCTGAGCTCTGTGGAGTTGACAGAGCACAGCCCTGGCTCTCTACTGTCCCCTGCAACCGGGCTGCACTCTGAGTGACTCTGCCAGCCCCACAGAGCTCTGCTCCACAACCCTCCGGGGGGTGCAGCCCCCAGGTCTGCATATGGGATGACAGGAGGCGGCCCCTGCTGCCTGGGGCCAGCAGCAGTAGCCTTCCCGGTGCTGGGCATGGGCTGTGCCCAGCATCAGTCCCAGGCAGCAGTAGCAGCAGCAGCAGCCTCCTGTCATCCGGTGTGAGGATCTGGGGGCCTGCACCCCCGGAAGGGCTGCAGAGCTGTGCCAGACTCCTCCCGAGAGGCATGGCCCCTAGATCTGTGCGAGGGATCACAGCAGGGTCCTGCTGCTGGCTGGGACCGGTACTGAAGCCAAGTAAGTCCACCTTCGAAACGTTTCAAGTGCCCTTGTTTCATTCCGAAACTGTTTCGAAGGCATTTGTTTCATTTTGATTTCGCTCTTTTGAGGTTGAAACAGCTTCAAAACGAAACACCTAGTGAAATTTTGCACAGCCCTATTAAACATGTATCCTGTATGACTCAGTAGTGAGATTCATCATTTCATAGACGCAACAACATTTTATTCAACTGTTAAAGTGGTTTGAATACAATAGCAAGGGCAGGATACATCATATTCCTAGTGCTAATAAAAATCTCTCTGGTAAAACAAGCAAAGAAGTGTCCAGTTCAATTTTCACTTTAGTTTTGTATCCCAAACCTCCAACCAGACTTGTTTTTGGATGTACAATTAGCATCCTGCAGAGAGTTTACTAAATTGATTTATCACAGCTGGGAGTGGAGAGGGAGAAACAGGGTCTAAGTTCTTCATGCACACTAAAAAACACCCTCACATGGAGGCTGTGAAAAAGTAGAGCTAGAGAAAAAAATATTTTAAATGATCAATATCACTAAAATATTATTTATGAGTATTTTTTAGATTCAGCTATTCTATACAACTGTTGTTCACAGTCTAGAATAACACCACCCAATTCATCCAAGTGACTTACCAAAGCAAGCAAATGGATGAAGAAAAAAAAAGAACTAGTGAATTTAAACCCTAGAAAGAAGACTATTCTGGTAAGCAAATTGAAACACTTCCAAAAATTTGCTACAACAGTGCTGTCTCCATTCATGCCGGGCTTTCACAAAACTGAAATGTTTCTGTCACCTTCATCAGGTTAATCTACCTCCAGCTCTAGCCAATCAACTTAGCTTCAATCATATATGCTTCTATTACTCCTGCCTGAAAAGTATGCATTTCATTTATTCAGAACTGATGTTTTGGGCACTGCAGAATGCCGCAGCACCCTGTCTCAGTAGCAGAGGTTATCATCGTTATTTTACTTCTAGGCTTCCCTCAGCACCTTAAACTAAAACTGAAATCAGGCCTCAGTCCTTATTTGGGGATCTGTAAAACTGAGTTAGTCCCAATGGAATCAGCTGCAAGATCAGCTATAGCTCTCTCTGAGGGCCCCATTACACACGCAAGTAAAGGCACAATGAGCACTAATGTATAATCTACACAACTGTGCATTAGATCCTATTGCATCTTATTCCTGGTGCAGGGGGAACCTGGGATCAGGATCCCCCTGCACCAGCAAGAAGCAAGCTCCCACAGCTGGGGGCCCCCTTCAAGTGAGGAGTTCCCAGCCGCAGGGGTACCCAATGCACCCCCAGGACTGGGAGATGCAGCTGCCATGATCTCCCAGGCTCTGTCAGGGGTGCACAAAACCCCCACAGCTGGGAGTTGAGCCCCGGCACCAGAAAGCATACAGCAGGAATGCAGCATCAGCAGCTGTGAGACCCAGCAGCTGCAGGGTGTTGCTGGGACCCAAAGCTGGCAGCTGCTGGGGCTGAGAGTCCCCTCAGTTGTGGGACTCTGAGCCCCAACTGGGTGTAGTACACTCTTGTGACTGGGAACCCTATCAGTTGACCGAAGACTCTGCTACATGTGCAAATTAAAGTTACTACACAATTTTTCAAGGTTTAACTTTATAACTGGTTGGAGCTTTTTATGGCGTGATAGCTATTTTGGAAGAGTAGTTCTTCTCAAGGTAATTGTGTAATTAACCAGTTAACTGCGCGATACCTGTAACATGTAGAGGATGCCTGAACACAACCAATAAAAGCAGAGTCAATGTTTAAAGAAGAATTTGATAGGAATACAAGATACAGCTTGCAAAGTTCCCTAACAAGTCAGTAAGGTGTAGATAGCACTAGTACTTGTTGATTTCCCATTTAGATTATTAATTATACCAACTACTCCAGTTTATTTACCTCAAAGTTTTTCCTCAGCTCATTTTCCTTTGACTGAGTTGCTAGCAATGCCTGCTCTGCTCTACTCAGCTTCTGAGTAAGCTCACTGCAATCACGTTCCAAAAGCTGTTTTGCTGCTGTCACCTACAAGGAAAAAAATCAAATGTAATTTGCAATTCTATTTAAAATTACTTTTTTAAATAAAGGCTTTTAAAATAAAAATCCAATTGCTTCCTTAAAGTATGAGCTAGAGTTTTGATGCAACAAAACCAAACAAATCCAAATTCCATCTTTTTTTTTTTTTATTCTAAGGGAAATCCAGAACTGTGGTGTTCAACTTGCCTGGCCCCACAGGCTGGATGAGTGGCACAGGGCCAGTTCAAGGGCCTGATGAAACACTGGGTCAGTCCATGGATGCATGTCAGTGCACTGATGCACACTAGACCCAGCCAAGGAGCGACTCTGTATACTAGCCCATCTCCATGTGCTGGATCTGGCTGCAGTACAACTGGGGATCCTGGCACGATCCAGTTAAGAATCAGACAGTCCAAAAGCAGTGCTTGTAAAGAAAAGACAATCTTAAAAACTCAAGACTGCAAATGCCAGTATATGAAAAATATTTCCAGGCAAATTCTGAGGTGCACAATCACAAAGCAACATTTAAAATACTGTTACGAGTTTGGAGCCCTTTTCAACCAGTGGAGCAGCAGTCTTTAATACCTGTTCTCTATTCTCCAAAACTACTGGTTTGGTCCCCTTGGCCAGATACAGACCACAGGACTCTTTGCAGGCCAGATCCAGACTCAGTTTAAGTGGCAGAGGAAGCTGTGAAGGTTAACAGCACTCACTTCCCACTGTTCACACCCCACCCCCACCCCTAACAGGGCTCTGTACCTTGGACTCCAAACCTGCTCACCCAGACTCCAAACTGCCAGACTCTTCAGGAGCCCTGAAGGCCAGAAGAGACAGCTCTGTGGACCAAATCCAGCCCACGGTCCATTTTTGACACTTCTGCACTACTGTATTTTTTTTTTAAATCAAAGCATGCAGTTTGGAGATGTAAAGTAGTGACTTTTGACCAACAAGCCTCAAAATTTCTTGCAAATTATCATGCACATTCAAACTTCTAATTGAATATAGAGAGGCAATATCTACAAACCACTTACTATGGTGTTGTAAGGCCACTAGCGATTCCTGGAGCAGTAATATGCTCTTAAGAACACTGAAGTATAATTGCCCATATTTATGGCCTAAAAACATTAAATCTGTAGCTCTATTTCCTGAGAATATAGTTAGAGATAAAAGATTAGCACCGTAGTAACCTTTACATTAAGACCTCTGGAAGAAACCTTACATTCATATAGCAGTAAGCAAGATCATAAATTGAATCATCGTAATCAGATCCAGATACTTTTCTCTAATTTTAATTTATTTTAGATTTGTCACAATAGCCCTACTCCAAGTTAAAAGGAAGGAAATTCCATCACCAAGAAAAAAAAAAAAAGCCATTATGGAAATGAGTAAGCACCGAAGTTTCTGCATGAACCTGAAGTTTCTGCAGTAGGCGTGTAAAGAAGAGTATACACAAGGAAAAAAAAAAAGTCATGGAGAATAGTTGTAACAGACAGTTTTAGAACTCTTGTCTTAAGTCAATATACTATGTATTACAAAATCAGAATAAAAAGCAACTTGTTTGAGTATGGAAAAAAGCTCTTAAATAAGAGCAGAAAGAAAAAGAATTCTTGCATGGCCTTAATTAGATTGCTTTAAAGCTCATTTGCTATGTCAGCTAATCATTCTTCTTGCCTCAAACCACAACGTACACCACCACTGAATATATTTTACTGGTGTAACACTGAACTACTTTTTGGCGTCTTTACAGCTCAGTTATCCCTCAAAAGTCTACGAAGTTCTTTATCAAGACTTTCCTTTTTTATAGCCCTCTGTTTAGGTGCTCAGCGTTTGTAGTTCAGGATAGGTATTCTCAACCAACAGGCTGTGACACCATAGCATCGCTCTCTCTTGGTATAGCTCTCAACAAAACTGCAGATGTCTTACAAGCCTCCTTTGGAGTTCTCAAAAATTGTCACTTGCCCTTTTCCCAGCAAGATCGCTCCCCAGCTGCAACCTCTCCCACTGGCTGCTACTCCCTTTCAGATGCACCCATCCTCCAGGGTCTCTGCCTAGAAACTAGCCAGCAAGAAGTTCTCTCTCAATTCTCCCTGGAGTTTTTTTTGCCCCCTAAATGACCACTTCTATTTACCCTTATCAGCAAGCCTGTTTTGGTGGCATGATCCATACCTTGTTGTTCTCTTCACTGGGAGAAACAGGCTAACTAACAGAGCAGCTAAGCCCCAGCCCTTTGTGTATCAACACCTTTTGATAAGAACACACAACACCTTATTCTGATTGAATTGAAATTTACTTAATTTCACTTTAATATTATAGCCATATAGATCTAAGTACACACACAAAAACCAGGCTTTATTAATTTTACATGAAATAAACATCAGCAAATAACTAGCACGTTATACACGTGCTAGCATATAACTAGGCATTTATACATGTGCTCCAGGAGTTTGGGAAAGAGGGGGCACTTTAATAAGAGTGGCTCTCAGAGCTGCTCTAATTAAAGTGCCCAGTGTCTCATGTAGCAGCATCCCTGTGCTTACAAATGGCAGCAGGGTCACTTTAACTAAAGCTCATTCAACAAGCTTTAGTTAAAGCACCCCCACCACCATTTTTAAGCACAGGGATGTTGATACCTGATATGCTGGAGTCTGCTGGAGTAATTACCACACTCCAGCAGACTTGATTAACTGAGCCTGCTCTGACACACTGTAACTACAGCATATCGGAACAGTATCGCTGCTCATGTATAGGCACCCTAGAAGACCACAATTTAGATGCTTCCTTCCCAGTTTTATTTGAAGTTTTTACATCTAAGAAGCCTACTTTGTCAAGTTCTGCCCGTAGAGCATTGTAGTCATTTTTGGCTTGCTGCAGTTCCTGGTTCAGCTTGCATTTTATCTGGTTGCACTGCTGGTCTAGTGTATGTAAGGAACGCTGTTGACGAGACAGTTCCTAAAAGTCAATGGTAGAAAAGAAACATAAGTACTACTGCCACAGTTTTCTAGTCAAAGTACTGTAACTGTCACCTCTAGCAAAGTGGGGGAAGACATATTTTAAACAGCCTGTCTGCGAAAGGCCTGGGGAATTTTACAGGCATCGGGGATAGCAAAAGGAGCAGAAAAGGATAGGTGAAGGAGCAAGTAGGGAAGCATGTGTGATGCCTACTGGAAAAAGACATCTGTTTACAAAAGAAGTTAGACTCCCTTCAGATAAAAATCACAAGAGGCTTGTCAGGAGGAAAAGGCAACAAAGTGATAGTGCTTCCCTTCTATATAGTCTTCCTAGGCAACCATATATCTTCCAGTAAAATTAAACACCCCTCCAGCTTACTTACGTACCCTTACAACCTATTTTCTAGCATTACTTCCATAAACTACTAAGATTTGCTTTTAGCAGTAAAATAGTAATAATTTCAGGAAAGCATTCTAGAGTGATCAATGAAGGGCACTCTGACTCAGAGAACTGCAGAGTTGAAATGTGCTGCTTTTAAAGCAGCATTTCACCTATGCCCTAGTAAGATGAAATGCTCACTCTCTCTTGGGTTTCCACAGCTATCAAAAGGACTGCTCATCTTTTGTTTAGGAGGTAGAGTACAATCAGGTCAAATTCACTGTAGCAGAAAGAAACACAAGTTGTAAGACCCAAATGTGGCATTATTCATCTTCCCTAGCACCCTTTGGGCCCCGGGGAAGGCTCACCTGGGCCTAGAGTGAGTGAGGATTTAGTTAGGGAGCTTCTGGAGGGGCTGGACGTTTTTAAGTCAGCCGGCCGGGATGATCTTCACCCTAGAGTCCTAAAGGAACTAGCTGGGGTTATTGCAAGTCCCCTGGCACGGCTTTATGAACACTCGTGGTGCTCTGGAGAGGTGCCGGAGGACTGGAAGAGGGCCAACGTGGTTCCCATCTTCAAAAAGGGGAGGAAAGAGGACCCGGGGAACTACAGGCCAGTCAGCCTTACCTCGATCCTGGGCAAGCTGTTCGAGAAAATTATTCTGGCACACATCCAGGAGGGGCCAGCAGGGAACGGCATGCTCAGGGGCAACCAGCACGGGTTCATCAGCGGCAGGTCCTGTCAGACCAACCTGGTGGCCTTTTACGACCAGGTCACTAAATCATTGGATGCAGGGGTGGCAGTGGATATAGTTTTCCTAGACTTCAGGAAGGCTTTTGATACTGTCTCTCACCCCATTCTCATTAGGAAGCTGGGGGACTGTGGCGTAGACACCCATACAGTCCAATGGGTCGCCAACTGGTTAGAGAGTCGCACCCAGAGGGTGGTAGTGGATGGGTCCTTCTCGACCTGGAAGGACGTGGGAAGTGGGGTCCCACAGGGCTCGGTCCTTGGGCCCGCCCTGTTCAACATCTTCATCAGTGATTTGGATGAGGGGGTGCAAAGCACCCTGTTCAAGTTTGCTGATGACACTAAGATGTGGGGGGATGTGGGCACAATAGAGGGGAGCAACAGGCTACAGTTGGACCTAGATAGGTTACAAGGATGGGCGGAGGAGAACAGGATGGGGTTTAACACAGACAAGTGTAAGGTGATGCACCTGGGGAGGAACAATAGGCACCACACATACAGGCTGGGGAACTCCCCTCTTGTCAGCATGGAGGTGGAAAAGGATCTGGGAGTCATTATTGACTCCAAGATGAACATGAGTCGGCAATGTGGGGAGGCGGCTAGGAAGGCCAACTGCACCTTGTCGTGCATCCACAGATGCATCTCGAGCAGGTCCAAGGAGGTGATCCTCCCCCTCTATGCGGCACTGGTCAGGCCGCAGCTGGAGTACTGCGTCCAGTTCTGGGCGCCGCACTTTAAGAGGGATGTGGACAGCATCGAGAGGGTCCAGAGGAGGGCCACTCGTATGATCAAGGGACAGCAGGGTAGGTCCTATGAGGAAAGGTTGCGGGACCTGAACCTGTTCAGCCTTCAAAAGAGAAGGCTGAGGGGGGATCTTGTGGCCTGTTATAAACTGGTTAGGGGGGATCAGCAGGCGCTGGGGGAGTCCCTGTTCCCCCGAGCGCCGCAAGGAGTGACCAGGAACAATGGTCACAAGCTGGCGGAGGGAAGGTTTAAGTTGGACATCAGGAGGCGCTACTTCACGGTCAGGGCGGCTAGGGTCTGGAACCAGCTTCCAAGTGAGGTGGTGCAGGCTCCCACCCTGGGGGTTTTTAAGAGGAGGTTGGATGACCACCTTACTGGGGTCATTTGACCCCAGTGCTCTTCCTGCCATGGCAGGGGGTCGGACTAGATGATCTGCTCAGGTCCCTTCCGACCCTAGAAACTATGAAAACAGTGCCTGAAGTGTTGTCATGCTCCTAACTCAGTCATGATTCCTCCTTCAAAATTTGAACCATAATCCAGATTAACACTCCTGCTAATCATGCTTGAAGCATACTTTGTCACAATCAGACATCACTATATGTGAACTAGCTATCACAGTACTGTCTATACTGATGGTACTAACTCACTAAACAAAGTAAGAAACAGCACTTAGCAAATACAGATTTCTCCATTATGGTTCACTTCGTTTCAAGTCTACTCAATCAATAGGATTGCCAAAGGTTTTTGAACAACATGAGTTCATGAATTTTGTTGATGCCATTTTGATGAAGTCTTCATTTTTAGCCTCTTCTAAGATGGTTGAAGTCAGTTTATTAGCCTGACAGGCACAACATGTAATTGCTGATTGCAGTCTCTGCAGGAGTGCTTCTCTCTATTTTAGGACACAAACCTGCAAAGTGCTGGCCAATGCATCTCATTTCATGTTATCCTGCCCAAGATCCTAATACTGGATACTTCCAAACAAGGCTAGGGAACTCATTTGGATTATATCTGGGTATAAAACTGATTATACCCACATTTCTATCTATACATAAATGAATTAGAACTCCGAGTCACATTTTAAAACTCAGAGCCTTCCCTCCACTCCTGCCTTCCCAAAGTCTTGACAGATAATATTATAGTGATGCACTATATAATCAACAGGCAAAGTGCAGTGAGATCATCCCCTCTGTCAGGGGTACGTAAAACACCAAATCACTCTTAGAACTATATGGTTACCAGGGCAAGAGGCATTTGAAATGCCTATCATTCAGGAACATTGCTGCCTTAGACAAAGAGCAGAGACCTTGTCCCAGCCATGAGATCAATGTTCTACACCTCCTAAACCTCTTATTTAACAAAAATAATGAAATAAAAATAAAATACGTTGAATGTTAAAACTTATTGGAACACTAATCCTAACTGTGCTAGAAGAAACCCATGAGGGCACTTAAGTTCTGCCTTCTTGTCATGGGCAGAAGGAAGGAATTCGGAGTCAGTAGGAACCACTCAGTATTTTATGCTCCTGAGTGGGAAGCATAAGACACTCATAGCTCCAATTGCTGCTGCTAATCAAAAGAACGTGAATCTGTGCACAAAAGTACTAGCACACCTATGGTAGGATCAGATCAGGGAAAAGTACTTCACAATGAACAATTTGTTCACCTTAATAAGAGCAGTCTAAGGGAAAACAATGGTTCTCGTCTTACCTCCATATATTCCCTCTCCTTTTCTTTTACTTTCTGCTCATATGAGTGACGAGCACTTTCAGCATTTTGTCTTTGACACTTCAGTTCTTCCGACAGCTTTTTAACTTTTTGCTCCACTGTTTCATACTATGGAGAATTTAAGAGAGTTACGGATGAAAATGTTATTTCATTGTATTTGTATTGCTATAAGGACTAGAATCCCTCTCTGCTAGGTACCATGAAAAAAAAGAAAAAGAGAAAAAAACAGAAAAATCACAGTCTTTTCTTCAAAGAAAAAAAACACAAAAACTTGAATGATGAAACTAACAGGTACTCAAACTTTATCTAAGGCTAAGCTGATAAGGGATTTCACTTGGCTTCAGTACAATAAAATTCAGTAGGTACAAATAAAAGCTAAATAACTAAAAGCATTTAGACATGCAATAATTGAGAATTTCAACAACAACAACAAAAAAACCCAGTAAAACAGTCTGGTTTGCTGGAACAGCAAGAACAGCATATTTTTCATTGTTGAATTGACAGTACTGTTAATGGCACACCAGGGAGATTTACAACCAATTTAAAAGAAAACTGCCATGCCAAAATGAAAATTACTCTCTCTACAGAACATCCTTGATTTTCTGAAGTCTTTTTATTAAAGCAAATAACTAATCTTCAAATGAAATAAAGTGAAGGGGTGACAAAATTTAAAGCTTCTTCATGGTTAGCTGATATTAACCTAGAAGATGACCCAAAAGACAATTTAATGTGATGAGAAAACATTATTGATACCTGTGCATGCATAAGCACTGCTAACTGTGCACTATCATATTTAATTTATGCTTTATTGAAATGCAGTTCCACTTACATAGTTATAACTTAGTAAATTATTGATGAAATGGAGCATTGTGACAAAAGTACCCTTCTAATTATAGCTGAAACACTGACAGAAAATAAATATCTAAGATGACAACATGAATTCTGGGAAAATTATGATGATGCCATATGGATACCTAATCACAGTTTCATAGATACTAGCTTAATCTGTGCACTGTCAAAGACCACATTCTGGTTGCCTTTTTAGACAACAGACCTACTGTTTATTCAGTCTATTGGAGCAATTTATGTATAAAAGATAAATTTTGAAGTCCAGATCTTCCTCACAGCATCCTGTTCAACCAACCTAGATGGGTGTAGGAATTTTTTTTTTCAGAAAGGAAAAGCCATGAGAGAAAAGAGGAAATATTTTTAATATCAGAAAGGCAGCAGTTGACTCAGTTAGCTCCTGCTCTATTGCCAGTCAATCAATACAGAGCTTGATCTACCAGTTCAAATAGCTGCTTCAGAAGAAAAGCACAACCGAGTCCTGTTCAGCCTGCCAAAACCTTGCCTACCCAACCCCATACAAAAAAAAAAAAAAAAAAAAAA